AGGCGTAAAGACTACAAGAGAATGCATAAAGGAATGTCATCAGAGGATGAGCTCTCGGACACTTGTTCTGCGATCGTTTCGGATGATACATCATCTAGTATAGGGCAAACCAGAGAAGTACTCACAATCACCTCTGATCAGTTCGCTCAAATACTTCAAGAAGTTCTAGCCAAACAACGTGAAGAAATTAGAGCTGAAGTGAAGACAGAAATGAAGTTGGCTATCCAACAAATGAGAGAACTGTTAACTCAACAGCCTCAACCTCCTGAGTCCAATCAGCGACTTGAATCCAGCCACCACACTCGGAATGTTGTAGAGGACAGTGATCCAGAGGTGGATGAAGTCATTATGACTGATACACCTCCCAATAGCAATAACGCTGGGGGTGGTCTAACGGATTCTCCCAATAACGAGATTGGGGGTGGTTCAATAACACCTCTCACAGGGGGTGGTCTAACTCATTCTCCTCAACGTCATTCGAATGAAGACATAGACGATAAAGGGAAAATGAAAGAGCTTGAAAACAAAATCAACGCTTTGATGACGGCTCAAGAAGTGAAGAAGACGGGTATTCCATGTCCCTATCCAAGAGAATGGGATTCAATACCGTATCCGGCAAAGTTCAATCTGATTAACTTCACACCGTTTGAGGGGAAGAGCTCGCCTATTCAGCACTTGATTTATTTCAAGTCTCATTTGGACATGATCTCTGGAAACGATGCTTTAATGGTCCGGTCATTCGTTGGCACCCTTCGTGGACCCGCCTTCGATTGGTACCGACGTCTCAAGCCAGGGAGCATCAATTGCTGGGATGACATGGAAAGTTTATTCCTCAGCAACTTCTTCGATGATGATACCGAAGTGTCAATCGGAACCCTTTTAGATGAGAAACAAAAAAACGGAGAGTCAGTCGACAATTTTGTCAAGCGCTTCCGTGGCAAAGCAATGAATTGCAGAGATCCTATTAAACCTCTCCATTGATGTCCTGGAAGCTCTGGGGGTCGTACCATCCACCACTTGGAAAGAGTTAAAACTACGTGGTGAACAAGCTGAACACTTTCTTAAAAGAAAGAAAGCTGAGAAAAGCCAACCGACGACATCTATAATCGCTGTGAACGCGACTCTCGATCCGAGGTTCCAAAAGGAGTATTCTTTCCAAGATGATGAACCTCCAGCCATATTGGAATACCTCATCGCCAATGATAAAATCGAGCTACCGCCTATTAAAGATCAGGAGGGTGCTAAGATGATTACAGATCCAAACTACTGTGCATATCACAGAAGGATTCTTCATCCCACCAATATTTGCTTTGGACTCAAAAATAAGATCCAAGCATTAATTGACTCCGGCGTCATAATGGCGAAACAAGCCAAATAAAGACGACCCCCTACTCCATTGGATACACGAGTATAAACTGTTTTCCCTGACTCCGATAAGTATACGAGTATAAACTGCTTCTCCATCTCACTCCGAAGAGTATACGAGTATAAACTGCTTCTCCATCTCACTCCGAAGAGTATACGAGTATAAACTGCTCCTCGATACTCCAACAGGTATATGAGTCTAAACTATTTCCTTTCTTTCACGGGAAGTTCCTAGAGAATGCCATGCATGGTACTTTTAAGGATAACCCGATCATTAAGCTAAACATAATGATAAACCCAGTTTCGCAAGAAAAGCTGGGGGTGGATAGTTCATGTAACGGAAGTTCCCGAAAGAATACTATATGTAATTTTCTTAGGAATAACCCGATCATTACAAACAAAGTGTTAAACACTACATCCCCACGGTGATTTTCGAATACTCTTTTGCTGAGATGAGCTTCGATCACTTCGTTGGATCAATCTTCCCTCACAAATTGAACGATCAAACCTTTAAACAGTTAGGATCGTCTCAAATTCCCATTTTGGTCAAACATTTAAACAGTTAGGACCAAAACCAAAATCCCCTCTCGATTCGTTCCATGAACGAGAGGTCCACAAATTGAACGATCAAACCTTTAAACAGTTAGGATCGTCTCAAATTCCCTTTTGGTCAAACCTTTAAACAGTTAGGACCGAAGCCAAAATCCCCTCTCGATTCGTTCTATGAACGAGAGGTCCACAAATTGAACGATCAAACCGTTAAACAGTTAGGATCGTCTCAAATTCCCATCTTGATCAAACCTTTAAACAGTTAGGACCAAAGCTAAAATCCCCTCTCGATTCGTTCTATGAACGAGAGATCCACAAATTGAACGATCAAACCTTTAAACAGTTAGGATCGTCTCAAACTCCCACTTGGTCAAACCTTACTACAGTTAGGACCACAACCACAATCTCCTTTCGATTCACATTGTAAACGAGAGGTCCACAAATTGAACGATCAAACCGTTAAACAGTTAGGATCGTCTCAAATTCCCATCTTGGTCAAACCTTTAAACAGTTAGGACCAAAGCCAAAATCCCCTCTCGATTCCTTCAATGAACGAGAGGTCCATAAATCGAGTGATCAAACCTTCCTACAGTTAGGATCACCTTGAAACTCCCACTTGGTCAAACCTTACTACAGTTAGGACCACAACCACAATCTCCTTTCGATTCACATTGTAAACGAAAAGTCCACTTTTGAATTGGATAATCAAACCTTATGACAGTTAGGATTATTCAAACCAATCCAGATTCTCTAAGTAGAGATCTAATTTTGAGTTTCCTTTATACCAGGAGATAGAATATAAAATTCTTTCTCTCCGATTTCGGGTTTATCTCTACCAACAAACAAGAGACCAGGAGATAGAATATAAAATTCTTCCTCTCCATCATTGGGTTCATCTCTACCAACAAACAAGAGACCAGGAGATAGAATATAAAATTCTTCCTCTCCATCATTGGGTTCATCTCTACCAACAAAAAAGAGATCATATTACTCCAATAGGTACACGAGTCTAAACTGTTTCCCTACCTTCAACAGGAAGTTTCTGGAGAATATTAATCTGAATATTCTTAAGGATAACTTGGTGAGCTCTCAATGATGTATTAATTCAGTGACAAAAGCTGAACCCACAAGAACAAGTACCAGCTTCGATTCAAGATCTTAACAACGGTGAAGCGATAAACGCGATGCCGGGAGAACATTAGCTATTCTACAAAGATCTGAATAGACTAAAAGAAGAAGAGATCAAGCGTTGAAGCCATTTACAAATCCTTCTACACGATCTACTCAACCAAGCATTGAAGGAATCGTAAGTAGAATCTGTCTTATCCAAAGTATCACAGACTCCTTTATAAAAGAACGAGTCTGGAATACTTTGGAGGGGGTATCTGTAGACGTCAAAAAATACCGAAAGATATCCAAATACAGCTCAAGAAGGAATTCATCCAAAAAGTCAGAAAAAAGGACATAGACCGTCTCGCACGCGAGACAGACTTTGCTGTCTCGCACGCGAGACAATCTTTACTGTCTCGCACGCGAGACAGACTTTGCTGTCTCTCAGTGCGAGACAGCGTTTGCTGTCTACCAAAATAACGGAGTTTAAACGTGGGAACGAGTTACAACGAAAACTGCCAGACAGTACTGTTCCCGAGAAGACAGTCTTTACTGTCTCGGCCTCCGAGACAGTAAACACTGTCTCGGAAGCACTGTTCATCCTAGAGGCTATAAATACCCCTTGAGATCGTTTTTTGAGCACTTCAGAGCAGACAGATCAGAGTTCTTGAGCTTCCGGTAATCCCTTGAGATTCGAGCTTTGACTTGATTTCAAGAAGAACGACTATCTTACTTTGATAAGATATCGTTTCAAATTCTCACTTCGATAAACGAAGGAATAATCATTAAACCCCTCACGATTCAATCAGAATCTGTGATTTGGTGGTCCACGAGTCAAAGCGCTCCCGACACAGGCAAAGATCCCACGCAAGCAGCGATCCAAACAACGATCCTGCGTTTGTTTCTCAAGAGTTGTAATTTTTCCTTTTGTTGTGTAAAAGGAGTCTTATAAAAAGGCTGTCTCTTTTTTGAATTTATTGTAATCGACCGAAGATATAATGAATTCCATGACAAAGTCAACTTTTGACGCAAACATGTATATTAGAATTTGCAGTTTTCATAGGGCTATAACCCATGATTTTTAGTCAACTTTCCTTCAGTTGACCAAATGACAATTAAGTACTCACAGTGCAAAAGCCATGTTTTTTGCAATTATGCTTGTTTCCCACAAATGGAAATTAAATACGAGTATATAAAAATTTAGGATTTTCATGGGCCATACCAATGATTTTAGTCAATTTATATTCATTTTGAACAAGTGACAATTAAGCACATATGGTTTGAAATTCATGACTTTCATGAACTATAACCCACAATTTTTGTTCATTTCCACGAAATGAACATTAACTATGTGTATATCAATATTTATGGTTTGCATGGATTATAACCTACTATCAAATTTTATTTATTTTGGTCAAATAGCAATAAGTACACATAGTTCACAATTCATGATTTTCATGAGCTACAGCTCATGATTTTTGCAAATTTTACTCGATTTGACCGAATGAACACAAATTATATGTACATAAAAATTTTCAATTTTGATGGGCTACATCCCACAATATATGTCTAACTTGTAGTGACCAGTGCGTAAAAATAATGGAGAGGGGAAAGAACAGGGTAGAAAGTGGGCAAACACGGTCTTGGGTTATTGAACTTCTATTGGAGGTTGATTGCAATTGGAGTTTGTAATTTGAACCTCTATTACGACTAAAAATGGTTGCTACTGCGGTTTACGTCAAAATCTATGTCAGACATAGACTGCAACAACAGCCGCAACTAGTCCAAAATGACGTAGTTGCATGGAAGTTGTGACACTATTGCACCAAAACTCCAAAGTTGTGAGAACTGATAAATATAATGCTATACCTTAAAAACTTTCTTCGTGGGCATTTTCACAAACACTTAGGCGAGCACAATTACAGCCACAAAGAAACTAACTTTTAGCCAACTGGGCATAACAAAAATGGACTCACTGGCAATCCCAATCTCCTCTGGACTCGTATTATCAGTCAAATACAGCGTCATCAATGGGCTAAAAGAGGCATCCGGTGGTAGGGCTTTCAGGATCCTCTCTCTATACTCCACGGCCGCCGCCGCCGTGGTCACCGGTGGTTTCAAATTGGGCATCACGATTGCTCTCCCAAAATGACCGGCGCTGATCAAATCAACAAAACCCAATGAAAAATATTAAATAAAATGAAGGGAAAAGGGGGAATGAAATGGACCTGTGAGGGGCGACGAATTGGAGGAGGTCGCCATCGCGGAGGTGGAGATGCCAGTCGTCGGGCTTTGTGATCCTCAGTTGCTCCATTTTTGTTGATGGGCTCGATTTTAGAGAGAGGGGTTTCGATGATGGCTGCCAAGAAAAAAGGGAGTTTGTTTTGAGAAGAGAGAGAGAGAGAGAGAGAGAGAGAGAGAGAGTTTGGAGGGAGACTGAGATAGATTGTTACTGTTGAGGTGGAGAGGCCAGCGAAGGATTGAATGGTGAAGGAGTTCATCGAATGCGGCGGCGGCGGCTGCGGCGGAGAGAGGCGGCGGTGGACTGAAAGTATTGAGGAAAGGGAGTGACGTTGTTGGGGACATCCATATGGAAATGGGTCGGATCCTGGGATATCCGTTTCTGGATCCATTTAAATAAATTCAAACTTATGGTTCGTGTGTATTTTTTGCTTTTAATAACTGAGAGTAGCATCTAAGAAAATTTCAAGAGGCGTATTGATCATTCATTTTGTTAATCTCATAATAAAGTTAAAGGGCTTTTAATGAGGAATATATGCAGTTGAACGTATAGGATCCTATGATGAGAATATCTTTTGAGTATGAGACGATGTATAACATGGACCAGATTCTTAACTAGTGTATCGACCTTGTAGCGAGCACCCAATTCATCGATTAAGATCGAGAAAAATTGATGGCCTGAATCCAATTCATCAGTTATGATTGGGATATATTGATGGTCTCGTCTGAGATATATTGATGGTCTAGGATGAAACACGGCTGGTGTGTTGCTCCACACTCTTGGTCGAAGCGTCGCTTGTGTAACCTACATCCAAAACATTTGTTACGATCTAAGTTGTAGCCTGCACGGATGTGGTACCTCCGTAACGCACCAAGCTCATATGCCGGTACAAATAGTAGGTCAATCCTTGCACATCTTGCTGCAGATGACAACCAACTACAGCTTAATTCTTTTGCCTGGGGATGTTTATATCATTCATTCTATCTTCACTTGAAGATTTTGTTCGTGTAAACAGGTTTACTTACCGGGCAAAAGATCGGGGGGGGGGGCGGGGGGGGGGGGGGGGGGTTGTAAGGCTTTATCTCCCCGTACAAAGGATTAACAACATAAATAATACTCAACAGTAAATTGCAAAAGAACTTCGTCAGATTTTTTGCAGCAGACACCCCAGGTACATTCAGTATTCACTGGATGACCCTGTACTATTATCATTTCAGCAGATAATGATTTGATCATATAATATAAACTGTTCTGAAGTTTAACATACTGTTACTCTCTATTTAACACACCAAGTTAACCAACAAACCAACAAAATAAATCTACAGACTAACACAGAGAAAATAACCTCCTAAGTCTGCAAGCTGATTACATCCACTTCTAAGCATAAAAAAAAGACCGAAAGTTCAATTACTACCTGAATGCTGCTCAATTTGCAAAACTGTTCGCTTACAACCTGAAATACTTCTCAATTTGCAAAACCTGTTCGATATCTTTGATTACGCCACCCTTATTAACTTCTCAGATTTGTTCTTCAAAGGAGAGTAAACCAGCTACTAAAGCAAGCACACACAGCAAACAGCGGCAGGAATAGCCCAATAGAGTTATAACGAGATTCTTTCTCTTGAGGATGACTCTTGGAAGTTGATTCTGAGCTTTTGCCGATTCCTGTAGTTAATGTTGGGCTTTGGTTTGACACTAGTTTCTGCAACTGGGTTTTCTTACCGGGCAAAAGATCGGGGGGGGGGGCGGGGGGGGGGGGGGGGGGTTGTAAGGCTTTATCTCCCCGTACAAAGGATTAACAACATAAATAATACTCAACAGTAAATTGCAAAAGAACTTCGTCAGATTTTTTGCAGCAGACACCCCAGGTACATTCAGTATTCACTGATGACCCTGTACTATTATCATTTCAGCAGATAATGATTTGATCATCTATATAAACTGTTCTGAAGTTTAACATACTGTTACCTCTTATTTAACACACAAGTTAACCAACAAACCAACAAAATCAAATCTACAGACTAACACAGAGGAAAATAACCTCCTAAGTCTGCAAGCTGATTACATCCACCTTCTAAGCATAAAAAAAAGACCGACAAGTTAATTACTACCTGGAATGCTGCTCAATTTGCAAAACTGTTCGCTTACCAACCTGAAATACTTCTCAATTTGCAAAACCTGTTCGATATCTTTGATTACGCCACCCTTATTAACTTCTCAGATTGTTCTTCAAAGGACCAGTAACCAGCTACTAAAGCAAGCAACATATCTCCCCGTACAAAGGATTAACAACATAAATAATACTCAACAGTAAATTGCAAAAGAACTTCGTCAGATTTTTTGCAGCAGACACCCCAGGTACATTCAGATTCACTGATGACCCTGTACTATTATCATTTCAGCAGATAATGATTTGATCATATAATATAAACCCTGTTCTGAAGTTTAACAATACTGTTACTCTCTTATTTAACACACAAGTTTAACAACAAACCAACAAAATCAAATCTACAGACTAACACAGAGGAAAATAACCTCCTAAGTCTGCAAGCTGATTACATCCACCTTCTAAGCATAAAAAAAAAGACCGACAAGTTCAATTACTACCTGAATGCTGCTCAATTTGCAAAACTGTTCGCTTACAACCTGAAATACTTCTCAATTTGCAAAACTGTTCGATATCTTTGATTACGCCACCCTTATTAACTTCTCAGATTTGTTCTTCCAAAGGAGCAGTAACCAGCTACTAAAGCAAGCACCAACGTATGAACGAGATTTCTTTCTCTTGAGGATGACTCTTGGAAGTTGATTCTGAGCTTTTGCCCGATTCCTGTAGTTAATGTTGGGCTTTGGTTGTACACTAGTTTCTGCAACTGGGTTTTCTAGTTTTGCTTCAGCGTCTTCAGGCTCTTCAGCCTTCGTCTCTCTCTCAGTTTCTTCAGCAGGGGCATCAGGTTCATTAGCTCCAGCCTTCTTTTTAGCTTTCTTCTCCTTTTGCTGAGATACACAATGAGGAGTCATCAGCAATTGTTGAGTAAATACATGGGATAAAGGTTGAAACAATGCTCACCTTCAGCTTTTTCTCAGCTTCCTTCTGTGCTCGAGCTGCTGCCTTAGTCGCTGCTTTCTCCGCTAACTTCTTCTTTCGTTCCATGGCCAATTTAGCTTTGGCAATCTCTTCCTCTCTTTTCATCTCCTTTAATTTCGTAGGATCAACCTCTTTAGGTTTTGACAACTCCTTAGTCTGTTCATATTCATAAGCATTTTCTGTCTCCCCAGTGCTATTCTCTTTTCTTCCAGCACCTGCTTTAGCTGGTTTGTTGACCTCTTGAGCTTGGGCTTCTTCTGATTTAGGAGGCTTAATAACCTCATTTACATGTTTAGGGGCCACTTTAAGTGCTGACGTCTCCAACTTGGCAGCTGGCGGTGTCTCTACAACAATCGGTTTTTCATCAGGGTTCCTCATTCGCCCATCCCTGCTTAACTGCCTAATATCAAGAGATTTCAATATGCGACGCTCATAGTCATCTCTGAAAGCTTTGTTGCTGCTCCACTGTGACATGAATTTCTCTACCTAATGTCAACAAAAACAAAGATCGTCATGAGACTCAGAAGGAAAAGGTTCAACCCAACACTGGAAGGATAAGAAAGCAGACCTCACTGTTACAAAGCGCTTCCACTTGTTCTTTATCTTTCTTTGCTGCAAGATCTCTGGCACTGTTCAGGAGTGATCTGTTCTGGTAGAAACACGAATTCTGAAAACAGGAAGAGAAGAGAAAGCATAGAAGGATATGATCAGACGAAGTTCAAGCAAGTGTAAGAACAAGGCATGTTTCCATCTAAAGATCACAAAATGAAATGAAAAGAATGTACCCACCACTTCATCACGTTTTCTCCTCAATGTATTCAGAGTTTCATATGCATTGTCCCTTTTCTCAGTAATAGATCTCAGTCCCTCCTCCAGTGATGCTATCTCATCATTTACAACCTTCAGTTTCTCATCTATTTGTTCGATTTGTGCCACAACTGCTTTTCTCTCCTTTCTAACTTCGTCCATATTGACACCAAGCAGCTGCAAAGAAATTATGGATCAGCACTTTAAATGTTTCGAAATAAATGAATGATCAAAATTTTTGAGTTGTAAAGGAAAGGGGGAGAGAGCACAATGAGCTTACTTTCATCTTGTCTTGGAGCTCTGATGTCTGACCTTTGGAGTTCTCAATTTTCATCCTCACAGCAACATTAGCAATAACCTTTTCTCTCGTCGCTTCGAGTTGTTTAATCTCTTTAAGCAGCTGTTTCTCCTCATTTAAGGTGTTGCTTTCATGTTGTATGCGATAGTGCAAGCTTCGAATCTGTTTTTACCACATAGAAATGAGTGCTGTGTTTATAAATAATCTTAGACAAGTGCACCTAAAATTGTTTTCGGCCTTACAAGATCATCAAGTTCTTCTTCTGAAGAGCACAAGCCCATGCCTCCCTCCCTTGCACTGTTCCTTGCAGTACGATGCTCAGCCAAACCCTTCTGTAGAGGTTCCATTTCCTTCCTCTTCTCATCCATAATTTCGTTGTGTTTTTTCTTCTCAGCAAGGAAAGGCTGAAGTTGTGATTTCAGATTTGATCTTTCCGACTGCACAAAGAAAGGGATGCCATATCAGATGACTCTCTATCTAGAATGACAGCTGAAAAAAGCCAGTCTGGGTGGTCACTAGATTTCGTAAAAGGAAAACAAAGTTAGATCAGTCGTCGACTTGAGACATAAAAAGACTCCATAAAAATGTCTTCAATTTTTTGGTCAAATGGGTTCAAAAATTTCTTGTGTATTTTAGATCTCCCAAGTTGGCCTTAGATAATTTCATAGCAAGTCTTCCATTTCAAAGCGCACTATATAGAAAATCTTAGTGACACAACAAAAACTGGTTCAGCATGTACGCGAATAATATTAGTTCAATAAAGAATCTGCAAGAACACACCCTTTTCTCCTTCAGTTTTTCAGTTAGCCGAAACCGATCCTGATTCTTCCTCTGGAGTTCTTTGTCAGCTTCGTCTATCTTCCTCTTCAGCTCTGGGTCATCATATGAGCGGATTTTAACGAAATAAAAGTTATGGCTTTTCTTTGCTTCAGGCCACTCATCTACAGCATCCTTGGGGGTATCAGAAGTAACTAGAGTATCAGCTTCTTTCACCTTTCCGTTGACATTCAAACCACTCATTGAAACAGTTTTCGTTGGTTCTGCTGATGGCTTCCCATCCACCTCAGTAGGAAATTTGGCATTGCCTTCACTGGGTTCAGCCTGCTTCGGTGTAACATCAGTCCCCAAGATCTCCACACCCATAGCGTAAAACTCGTAGGCGTATCAAATCCTAATGAATATCAATATAATAGATCAACTTTCCAGATAAATAATGAAATTATGTATTATTTTTGAGAAAAAAAACGAAGACAATTGATGTGGGCTATTCTATAATGCATGCAGACAATAAAAATACTTTTAAGAATTACACACTTAACACACCAAAGCCACAAAAGGGTGGCTAATATCAGATGTTGCTGACATGTCTAAATTATATAAGGTACCAAATTTAAACCAAAAATCACTGCAATCAATGTGAATCTGTATATCTTTCCCCTCAAGGTTCACATGTTCATCACGCTTGCACTTTACAGTAATGACTCCTTGGTAAAAGATGGTCCAAAATACTAATGAATGTGAATGCCCCTGACTGCTTCCTCTGCTACTGTAAATGTGAAACGCTACTCCGTTGTGAGGATTCAAATGGTAAATGTTGTTTATGGCAGAAGGCCCAAGCCTTTATGTTCACAATGCTTTGACAACATATTTTCTTCCCAAAAGTTTGAATGATCAGGCAGTATAGACACACATTTATCTAAAGCTCACCGACGTAAAATAATTAAAAAATCCTACTCAATTTCATAAATGCACGTCACCTTTTTAGGAAATTGCTTGACATTACTGCTTCTCATCTAGCTAGATATAAGATACGCAATTCAATCAGATGCGATTTCACAAAGTTCTCAACCATGTGACTTCAGAATTTTACAATGGTTAATTAGTTGGGGATAGTCTAAATTAAATTTTTCATAACAGATGTTAACCTGAAGTCAATACCCCAGTTAGATATATCAGTATGCAAGCGAGGCATTCAAAAGTCGGATACCTACTTTAGCTAGACTCCACTAGCAGCTTACCGGCTAGAAGTTGTCTAAACATTCAGCTTAAGCCAATGTATATATATAATATATATATATATATATATCTATATATATTACGTATATATAGTATATATATATATATTATATATATTATATATATATATTATATATATATGTATATATATATATATATGATACTATGGGCAAAATGGGTATGTTTTGGTATCCAGCAGAAGTTGTTTGTGCTTGGTAGTGAGGTGACATATCCCTCCACTCTTGAAATTGGGACGCTCACATTCATATGGGGTTGGGGGAGTGGTAACCTTACTACCAAGTCAAAATTTGTTGACTTTGGTACCAAGCATACTCATCTATCTCTCTTCCTCTTCTCTCTCTCTCTCTCTATATATAGTATATATATATATATATATAGCTATAATATATATATATTATAATATATATAATATATAATATGAGCAAAATGGGTATGCTTGGTGTGAGAGAACATATTCCCGCTCCACTATTGAAAAATTGAGCCCACATTCATGATAATGGTTGGGGAGTGTACCTTACTAACCAACATGAAAATTTATGGCTTGGTACAAGCAATACGCTAATTTTGCTCATATATATATATATATCATATATAATATATATATATATATATAGGTATATTATATATATGAGAAAATTAGGTATGCTATATTACGTATATAGTTATATAGCCTTATATATTATGTATAATATGATTCCGCTACGTTTTTGTGGATCAATATCCACGATGGTTATACCTTAAAAAAATGTAGCTTGAAGTAAAATTTCCATGTTTAAACTCAATGAATCTATCAAACATTGAGAATATCAAAGGAGGTCAACCCTCGTTCCTTTCGTCAAATTCTAATAAAACATCTCATTCTGCTAACCCCTAATCCACGGACATCATAAAATACCCAAAAGTCAATGATCAGAAATTGGAATCTCTAATCTCAGACGAAGAAATTTTACCTCTCAATTCATGATCCGACCCCTAACTACGTAATCCCGATAGAAAAAAAAAACCCCTTAAAAATCTAAATATTAGATCCAAACAGTTTCTTACCCGAGACCGGAGATCTCAGAGCGAAAGCGAGGCGGCGATCGAGATCCGGGTTCGGGCCTTCTCTCCGACTCCCGACTTTTTTAAAAAATGGAGAGCGAAAAATTAGCGGATCGGATTATAGAGAGAGGACTCGCTAAATTATTTCGGATCTAGAGAGAGAGATTTCTTTGCTATTTTGGGGTCGAGAAATGGGGAAGTTTTTTAGTAGTTTAGATTTTATGTTTTTTTTTTTGTTTCCTTTTTACCATTTTGGTAGCCGGATGTGAGGAGAACTTCTAGAAGGAGGGTGGTCCCCGCTTGAAACGTGCCGGTTTAGCCTGCGTGGTTTGTTGCCACGTAGGATTAGGTTGTTACGCGCGACGGCCCCCCACCCCCAGCAGTGGATGTTTTCGGGTCGGATCTTGGGCTTGATACTACCTGGGCTTCTATTTCCTTTCTCCTTTGGGATTACTGATGTTACTCGCCGTGTGATGTAAATAATTTTTGAGATAACACCTTGTCCCGTGGGTCAAGAGGAGATCTAGGGAGGTTTAATCCCTTCTTAACCATTTAAACAAGCTACTTTAGTTAAAAAGTTAATAAATTTTTTATTGTGAAGTTTAAAACTACTTAGCCTCTTATTTGGAGGGGTTTGTAAAGAGTTAATCCCAGTGGCGGAGCCAGAATTTTAATCCTATGGTATCCTATAGATGCATCGGTAATGGTGGAAAATACATCTCTCTCAACATAAGCCACCAAACTATCATTAAGCTGAAAAAATTCGAACACGTGCGCATGCTGGGTTCCTTGCGAGATTCGAACACGCGCGCATGCTGGGTTCCTTGAGACCCTTTTCCGCTAAACCATCTATACTTTTGTTATTTTTATATGTGCTCTCTGGTAGATATTCAGTTTTTACTGGTGTCCTGAGAACACAGGGGCACCCATTCAGCTCCGCCCCTGGTTAATCCCTCTTAAAATAAGAAATAGAACTTAAGAAATATAGTTTTAGGATATTTATGGCAACTAGCTTTCTTTAACCCTAATTTATTTGCTAAACCTCAAAAAAGAAACCCTTCATCTTCACAATTAAGTTCAAATAGAATTAAATTATTTTTAATCTTTTTAACATTACGTTAAAAGAAACTTCTATCTAAATAAGAGAGAGGGAGAAAAGCGTCTTGAGGAAAAGGAGAGAGACGGTGCCAGAGGCCTAATAGGCCTCATTTCGTTTTGGAAATCGGCCCATACAACTATCTGAGCCTTGTGCATTTTGTCGGTTCATATTAAAGCCCAAACCTTTCTCTTCGGCCTTTCAACGATCTTGTCTTTCCCTCAGTTCACAAAGCAGAGCCCACTTGACAATGCGCTTCACCGGTTCTTTTTTTTTTTAATTAAATTCTTTCTTTCTTCTTTTCTTTTGAGTCGGAGCGTGGAAGTAGATTAAGCCAGCAACGTTCCTTCCTCCTCCAATTTTTTTCTCTTTGCAATTATTCAATTATCTTAAAAGGCAGGAATCACATAAACCTCTATTGTTTTATGAATAATACCTATCTAATTAGAAATCCTGTATGCATGTGAGTTAAAATGTTTTTAACAAGCCTGCATTTTAAATCGTGTTAGAGCATCTCCAACAACTTCCCTATTTTCTCATTTTTGGAGAATATAATTAATGTTTTGGTCTAACAGATTCCCCATCTCATTCCCCAAAATAGGGATGGAGGAGAAAAAATGGGAAAACTTCCCCAAATCTGCAGCATTCTCCAAATTTTTGGAGGAAAAAATGGATTCTTCAAAATGGGGAAGCTGTTGGAGTTGCTGTAAAAATAATTTGAAGAATATGACTTTTACTTTCCCATTTTGGAGAAAATTTTAAAAAAGCTGTTGGAGATGCTCTTAGCCACTAAGTAAGCTGCACTTTATGTTTTGAGTACAACCAACAACAATAAACAATAAACAGTTTATCCTAAAAGTTAACAGTTTAAAACTCCTAAAATTCACTGATTAGGACAAAACTAACTGTTGGCCGCAGCAATTCCGTGTGTTTGATGACATCTTCTAAAATCCAAAAAACACGTCGATCATTTAGATTAAGGTTTGGGTTTCAATTAGGTGAGTATAATATAATAATTTTAAGATGTGAGGGGCTGAAAGAAATTTTCTGAACAATTCTCGCCGGAGAAATTCACGGCCAAGGCGAGACTTGACACCAAGTTGTCCCTTTTTCAAACTTGAAATATCAACATCAGAATTATTTTAAATACCAAAGTGACGAACGTTATCTATTAAGACTATTATAACTACCAACCCGGTGATTTAAATTTTGTTTATAAATGGATGTGCTAGTCAATTTTAGTTTTCCTTTTAAATCATCAATTTTTAACTATATATATTTTGTGAACTAACAGTTTGTTTACCAAAACAAGGTATAAAACAAAGTGATAAGTTCGTAGTCGTTGTTTGGCGCGCTTGTTTAGCTTAAGATTAAAAAGGGAAAAAAAAAGAAAAGAAAAGAGTTAGTCTACTTGTTTTAAATGCTAGAAGGTGTAGCAAATATACAGCTGAATTTAACAAAAAAATAGAAAATAAATAACTTGAGATTTTCTTTTCGAAAAAACATAAACACGCAGATAATAAATATTTGATGACGCACATACATTACATTGATGATACATCAAGTGAATATATATATATATATATATATATATTGCATATCCTCGTGCACTCCTGAACTCATGTGAATGTGATCCTCCATTTATGTTTGGTACCAAGCATACCGGTATTTCTTTTTCCCCTGCGCTTCGAGGCGGGACCGAAGCGCGACAATATTCACAAGCTGACTGAATTTACTATAGATTACGCAAGCCTACACCATTTTCTTCTCCATTTTTTTTTAAAAAGTTGAAGACTTTTGCAGCATTTTACGGCTGACGTTCCACACTCACTTAAAGGATCAGGTTCTTTTACTCCCGTTGACCAACCAACTGCGGACACCTGTCCCATGGACCCAGCCCTGCGGTGGTGGAAGCAAGAGTCATAATCAACTTTTTCCATCAAGTTTAATCATTGATCACACTTTGATTAAACACAGATAATCCAGCAATTAAAATCAGAAAAAAAAAGCTTATTAATTATGTGATAATAACAATAACAATAACAATAACAATAATCTTACACACAACCGAAGCAGCTGCAATCTCGAGATCAAATCGAAAACCTCACCGATTTCAGCTTCGGCGGCTCGGCGTCTCTCGGCGGCGGATGGCAGGTAGAACCCCTTCTCGGGCGATCGCCCCTGATCCTCCGGCCGAAGATCGGGCTCAACCGATCGGGCTCAACGGGGTCACGGGGCTCAGGGCGAGCTTCGGGAAGTCGAGAAGCTGCGGCGAGAGGATCTCCGGGCCCGGATCCGGCCGGCGGCGGGCGGATGGGGGCAAGGGGGCTGATTCGTCTTGAGGTTCTTGGAGCTGCTGCGGGCGTCGTAGAGCTTGGAAGGCGGGGCTTTTGGGTGATGGGGTTAGGCTAGGGCTTTTGGCGGGAGGGGGGTGTGATTTTGGGAGGGAGTTGCCGGTGAGCAAGCTGGACTACTTGCTTGAAGCACTGGAGTGTCGGCTGGATGAAGATTGTTGGGTTAGGGTTAGGGTTAGGGTTAGGGTTGGAGGGGGTCGAAGGAGATGGAGGGGGCTCCATTTATTTAATGAAAAAGGAGGGAGGGTTTTAGATAGCTAGAGGAACATAAAAAGGTGCAGTTTCGCCCCCCTCTCCCTCACTCCTTTTATTGCTAGAATGGAGACGAGGAGGATTTGCTGCGGGTTTGACCGGGCCGGGAGAGGAGCCAATTACTATTTTGCCCCTGAATGGGTTCTACTGCGACAGCTTCTCCACAAAACGCAATTAAAAATCCAAACGCGTTTTAAACTCCCATCTTTTTCATTTTTAAACTCCTTAACAAACCCTCTTGCCCGTTTAACCAAAGTATAACCCCAAACCTATTTCAAACTCGCATCTTCTCCATTTTTAATTAGAAGAGTTTGAAGTAGAGAAGGCGAGGGTTTGGAATGGGTTCGGATTTGTGATTTAGTAAAACGGACTCGGAGTTTGTAAGGGGTTGAAATGAATTTGGATTTGTAACTGAGTTAAGGGGCTGTTTGGTTCCCTGTTTTTAAGGGAAAGTTTCTCTTGAAAGCCAGCAGCCAAAATCTTCTTTTTTAGAGGTGATTTGGGCTGAAAGTCTGCCAAAAAGTGACACTTTGACAGGCTTTCAAGAGAAAAAAATTCTAACCAAACAGCCCCTAAATGGGTAGAGGGTTTGTAAAGTGATGTCATGGAGAAGATGATAATTTAAAATAAGTTTGGGTTTGTAATTAAGTTAAAAATGTGAAGTACCTTTAAATTTTAATGATTTAGGGAAACTAATATAAAATTAGTGAAGACTTGAGGGACTAATTTCAAAACTTTCTTGTTGAAGACTAACTTTTGGTCCTATTTTACCATCAGGGTCAACAAAAAAAAATCAAACTGTCGCCGGAGTAGCGTGTTGGGATCCACGTCGAGGAACCAAACCAAACGCCGTTCGAGAAGGCAAAACCAACCAATCAATGCACAAACACAAAACACCAATTTTAACGTGGTTCGGCAATTTCCTACGTCCACGGGGCAAGAAGGGGATGAGTTTTTTCACTAATAGAGAATAGGAGTACAAATTGAGATTACAAATCACTCAAAGGAATAAACTAATCTCATCACAAAGCTCTTAATCTCTCCAAATAAACCCTAAACAAATAGCTCAGAAAATACATCTTTTCTGTGCTCCAAATATCTCAAAATCAAGCCTTAAAAAACCCTAGAACGTGTATTGGTATTTATACCAAACACCAAAACCCAATAAGAACAGGAAACTCAAACTGGGCCTCTACGGTCGACCGCGCCAAACGATAGAACCTGAAAAATGCTTACAGGGTCTGGCGGCCGACCACGGCAAACGATAGAGCCCAAAAATCAACTACGAGGTCTCGCGGTCGACCGCGCCAAATCCAGACACAATCCATGAGCCTGTGCACGTTCGCGGTCGACTGGCCTTGCACTGCGGTCGACCGCGCAGCTCCCAAACTGACTCCTACATCCCAAAATCTGTTCTTCGCCAAATTTCTTCGCGGTTTCTTCATAGCGAAAAATACCAAAAGTGTTAGAAGGGGTCAACAAAAAAAATACCAATCTAGTATTTTAGCCATTCTTGTAGGGACGCTT